TTTAAAAAAAATAAATTTAAAATAAAACCTCTGTGCTGCACTCAGTTCTTCATAAATATGAAGGTAGAAGTCCATGGACACCCACGGGCTTTAACTTTGAAGGGTTCTCGTGGTGGAGAGTTTCCTGTAGGCTCTCTAAAAGGCTCTAATCTTCCAGAGCATCGATGTGAAGCAGCACTTTGTGTTTCAGGGTCCCATCATAATGGAGCTGCAGACCTACCGTTACCATGGACACAGCATGAGTGACCCAGGTGTCAGGTGAGTTACCTTTCTAAGTCTGGATTTACTGGACCCTGGGGGAGTTGTGATTTTTCTGAGTAATTTGGTTTGACCTCCTGCAGCTACCGTACCCGCGAGGAGATTCAGGAGGTCCGCAGTAAGAGCGACCCCATCTCCATGCTGAAGGAGCGCATGCTCAGCCACAACATGGCGTCTGTAGAGGAGTTCAAGGTGAGCGTCCAGACGGCAGTGATACATTCACAGCTTCAAACGGTTTTAAATGTCGGCAGCTGCAGGGATTACAGCACCTGATTTCTCTCCCGTCAGGAAATCGACATCGAGATCCGTAAGCAGGTGGAGGATGCGACTCAGTTCGCCACCTCGGACCCGGAGCCGCCGCTGGAAGAGTTATGCAACCACATCTTCTCCAACAACCCGCTGCTGGAGGTGCGTGGGACAAACCCCTGGTCCAAGCTCAAGTCTGTCAGCTAGACTCGGACCACACACTCAACCTTTATCCCTCACACATTCAGCACCTTCCCCCTCGACTTTAGGTCTCAGCACCTTCACGGGACTTTGAGGTTTTTCCTTGAAACCTGTCAGTGTTATTTATTTATAGTTTACTGTATAACTGTGAGATATTATTCGTGGTGGAGCCAGAGGTGTTGGACAGGATAAACATGCTGCACTGTAAACGCACAAATCCCAACATCTGACATGGAAACGTGTCTGTTAGAAACCTTCTCCATGTTTATCCTGCGTTTTAAACCCTCAGGAGATTTTTAAATGTTCCAAACTTGTGTAGATATTCCCTCAGACGTGTGACTTTAAACTTGGGAAATGCAAATGTGATGGATTGTTCTGGTAGTAAAACGCCTTTAATGAGGAGTCGCAGCCTGAGCTTCATTCCAGAGCAGTCCTCATCTGAAGCAGGTTCAGTGTCCAGGATAAGGACACAATATCAGTGTATGTAACCATAAAATGGCTCTAAAAATGTGTTTATAAGCTGAAGATGAAAACAAGACTTTAGCTGCTTGACTCGACTACTGACAAGACAAACATCTGGACTTGTGTGGGGAAACTGAAGCTGGCAACTGGATGCACTACATTTGAGACTTTCTGGGCGCTTTATGAATTTAAAGGAGTCTGTTATAAGATCTTTCCTCTGTGTTCTTTAATGTTTACTGTATCTGAGCCTGTACAGATATAAAGCTTTCTTATTTACCTGTCTGAATGGTGGAAACTGAAGGTTATGAAATAAAACGACTTTAAAGCAAAGTGGAAACGTGTTTGTGTTTACAAAGTAATGCTTCAAATATGACTCAATAGTTGATCAAACTAAAGGAAATCCATGCGCTGTTCAGTTGTTCCATCCTCAACCACTAGATGTCACTATCATGCTGAAAAACTGCTCAAAACTAAAAATTTATTTATTTATTTCACTTTAGAGTAAAATTCTCCCCCGGCTTTATGCTGGTTTATTGTCAGCTTCACAGTATAAAAATGAACATGTCTGGACTTCCCCCTTTGTCGCTTTATTAAAGCTTTATGAGCGAAATTCATGCTCGACTCCAACATGAAATGCTGTAAATTTAAACCACTGAAAAGTTGTCACAGAAAACGGAAAAAATGACAAAAGTATTCAAAACTGGATTTTGTAGCGACGCACAGCTTTAAGGAAACGATGCGGTGAATCCAGGAGTTACGTTCATGAGGTTCTGTTGTTTGTTTTTGGTTATTGTGTAGTTTTTGATCTCGTTTTGTGTACTTCAGAAGTCATTTTCCTTTCTGTGCTCGTGTTTCTCGTTTTTGTGAGATTTTCATATATATGTATATTTTGAGTGGTTTATGGTCACTGCATAGTGTTCATTTGTATGTTTTTCTGGTAACTTGGCATTTCATAGGTTTTCACACATTTATGTTGTCCTGGAGCTTTTTTTTTTTTAAGTGGTTTATTTTGTGTTTCACTACAGTATAGTTGCAATAACTTATAGGGCTGTGGGCTGTTTGTGGACATTTAGCAGGTTTTTGTGGTCTCAGTATTTCTGAGGGTGGTTTTGTGCAGATGTTGTATATTTTATGGTAATTTGTTTCATGGCATTTGTGACTGCTGGTGTATCACTTTGTATGTGTTTACTGATTTTGCATATTCGACATTTGTTGTCATTTAGAGTAGGTTTGTGGTTATTTTGTTTACATTTGGCTGCTTTGTGGTTATTTTTACATCTTTTGGTGCAATTTGCCATGTTATTGTTGGATTGTCATCATTTTTGCGGTTTTTTTATCTGTATTTTGTGTACTTTGTGATGGGTTTTTATGGGGTTACGTGGCTTATTTTGGATAGTTTGTGGTCATTTCGAATATATTTGGGATACTTTTTGTATTTTGTGCTACCTTTTATGTTTTCTGGTCATGTAGCTCTTTGTTCGACAATTTAAAGTAATTTTGCATATTTTGGGGGTAATATTTTGTATTTTATGCTACTGCTTCGTGTTTTGGGTTCACGTGGCCTAATTTACGGGTCGTTTAAGGTCGTTTTCCATACTTTCTGTGATTGTGTGAGGCACTTTGGCGCCACGCTGTTAGGCTTTATCGGTAAAAATAATCATTAACAAAACAACACCGCCTGCGTGATGAATCGCAGACTGTTTATTCATAAGTTCAGATACGTGCTCGTTCACTCTTTTATTACCTAAGTGAGAATGCCGCCTGTCGTCGTGACGTAGTTGTGACGCAGCGCTCTGACGGACAGGTAAGCCGACACCGGCCGCCATATTGGGAAAGAACGGAAGTGAGAGAGGGAGAGGTGGAGGTAGAGAGAAACGGAGATAAGTCAATCAGTTTCCGAAAAAGGGCGTCCTCCTCCCCCTCCTCCTCCTCTTCGTCTCTCCGGAGGAAGGGGCGGTCTCAGCGCCGCGGCAGATCCGGAATTAGCCCTTGTTCGCTCGGCTCCGTTCGGTCGGTTGGTCGGTCGGTTCGGTTCCTGCCGACGCTGAAAGTGGACTACTACCTTCAAACATTTTCTTTAAAGAATAAGAGCGAGGAGAAACCGGCGAGAAAGCGTCCGGAGCGAGGGAGGTACGAGCAGCAGAAAAGAGGAATAACAGAAGAAGAAAAAAGTAGGGGCAGAAGAAGAAGATGCCTCTGGCTCAGCTGGCGGACCCCTGGCAGAAGATGCCGCTGGGGAGGACGGCTGGAGAGGTGAGCACACTTTGGTTTGTCCTGCTGTCACACTGACTGACAGCTGACTGGGGGCTGCAGTCACAGCAGCAGCTTTTAGGGGGTAAAAAGACAAAACACAGCACAAGGAAAAGCGCCTTTAAGTCTCTGTCGGGCAGAGGCAGCTGCTCCCAAACACAGCACGAACTACCGTGAGACCACTCTGCAGGTAAATCTGTGCTTCAAGAAGCGCCGAACATGTGCTGGCAACGACAGAGTCACGATGAAGTGCTCAAACAGTAAGCTGACAATGTCATCAAGGACGAAAACACGAAATTACATTGCGTTTCTATTGACAGCAGCTGCGAAGTAACTGCAGGGATAATTATTTTTATGACCCTAAGTTGGACCGTAAACTCTGGGAACATCTGTTTATTTCCCTCTGAAGACACAAACATGAAGTCATTTTTATTGCAGAGATTTTACACCAGTTCAGGAGGGCACAGAAGTACACCAAAGTGTCGTATAAGCTCCCAAATAAGCACAAAACTCTTTGCAGGAATGTCCTGGGTATGATCCAGTGTTAATCGAGTGGTTTAAAATATCATAAATTGCAAAAATATGAAGGCGGCTTTTAGGGTAATTAGATTTTTTAAGTTAAAGACACAGACATCATTTTTACCCTAGAAAACTTCAGCAGGACTAAATTAGCTGGAATAAAACAAAGCATCAAGCGATGACCCGAAGGTGCAAATATGTAATAATACTTTATGCAGGAGTATTACAGTGGTACTACAGGGCACGGAAATACTATAAAGTACCACAACATCGCTATAAGCTGCCATGGACATGTTTCTGGTGTTAAATCAAGAGGTTTTAAATGTCATAAAGGACAAAAATGTGAAAACTTACATTGCATTATGGTTGACAGCACCAGTGACTATAGGGGCGTCAATTTGTCCCTAAAATTTGGTTGAAAACACTATAAAGCTCCAAAAAGATGAAGTTAGCTGCATTAAAACACGACGTAGATTAAGATGTGTTTACTCTAAACACCTGAACGTGGTGCACACCCTCCAGACATGTCACATTTGTGCAACAGGAAACCCTGAGCATGTGCTAAAATATTAAAATAAAATAAACTAAAAAAAACCTGTCATGGACGCACGTCAGTGTCTGTAAAAGGAGACTGAAAGTGTGGAAAGAGACAAGCATATGAAATTAGACTGTATTAGTACTGCTGAGTGACTACAAGGACACTATTAGGCCCTAAATTGGATTTTAAATACCATAAAACTCTAAAAGGAAATCAGTTCATGTAACTCTGAAGACACAAACACGAAGTAATATTCTGTGCAGAAATATTACACCAGCACAGTGTACAGTGGGCACAGAAGAACAATACAGCTGGTGTTTCATTGAGAGGTTTAAAACGTCAGAAAGTACACAAATATGAAGGTAAATCAGATTGTATTATTACACAAACTCTATTTTAAATGAGATTTAAAGCAGCACAGAGCTCCAACAGGGACTATATTAGTTGCACTGAATCACATCTCGAAGCAGTTTCGGCACAGAGTTGTTACATTTGGGTTTTATTTGTCAGTCTGTTTAGAAATAACAGATTCATGTTTAAATGCTAGAATAAGAGAATGGAAACGTGATGAAGTGCAAAACTGTGCAAAGTAGGTTTTATTAGGACCGAGAGCAGCAGCTAAAGCTGCTATCGAGCCATCATTCTGACCTTAAGTTAGACTAAAAACACCACGGATCTCAAACAGGACTGAATTAGTTTTACTGAAGCACAACAGAAAGTAGAATAAGATCATTCTGAAGACATAAAACTACTTCATGATTATTACATTTTTTACTATTTAAGCAGATACAGATAATAACGGCAGCCTCTACACACCAAATGCTCTACAAATCCATAGGAAACAAACTGTGGAAGAGGACATAAAATGATCTGAAGAGTCTTTTCTCTCTGGCCTGACCCTGAAGCTCAGTGAATTGACTCTGGGTGTCACAAACTCACTAAATCACCTTAAAGTCTCAGTTACACAGCAGGGCGTAAACCCCCCCCCC